GTTCAGATTCGCAAATTACCCAGAGTGACATTAGGTAAATACTGCAACATTTCTTTGTATATCATCGATCTTGCTGTTTTATCTTTAGTCTTGCCATCAGCTGTAATATTTTTTACTTTTCTTCGAACTCAAAGGAATAATGATACAAGCATAAGATTTCTTTTAGACTCATTTTTATGGCCTCATCAATCCAATAAGCTAATCTCTGCGTAGAGCCCTCAATTGCGTTGTTTAATATGACTTATCATGTAGTTTAACTGATCCCACTGAAGAAATAGGCCTAGAAAGTTCATGCTTCAAAGTTTGTTCGGTGGCTTGATTTCTATCAAGTGGTTGTGTAGCAATCAGCCCAGACATTTCATCAGATGGGGCATCCTCGCTATCAATACAAGTGATCATTTTCATGTCGCATGATAAGTTGTCCTTAATAGATGATGGAGAAGAGATATTATCGCCTGTGTTAAGTGATAATTTTAAATCTTGATCGTTACCATTGGTAACGGTGTTTTGTCACATGTTAATTTTGAATCTACAGAAGTAACAGCCAAAACTTGATTTTTAGCTGACTCACATAAAAGTTTCTTCTCTTTATTGTGTTGCTTTATTTCACTACTAACAATTTTCTTATGAGCCTCAAGCAAGAAACTATCCATATCTTTCTCTTCCAACGATTTTCTGTTAAGGCGTTTCGCAGAGTTGGTAGGTACCATTATTACCTCTGGTACTGCAACGAAGCTAGGTAGACTGTTGTTGGAAGAATTATCATTTAGCGACTGGTTTTGTTCCACTTTCGTGAGTCTATCTCTAACTTCAATATTCTCAGATTTCAACTCCTCGATTGTGGTCCTGAGTTTGGCGTTTTCAGCATCACGCCTCGTTCTCTCTTCCTTAGTCATTCTTAGAGTCTTGGCAATCCTGCGTTTAAGTTCAGCTCTCTCAAACTCAAAGTTAGCGAACTTCATTCTAAAATCAGTATTCTCCTTTCTAAGCTCTGCATTCTCCTTCCTGAACTCTGCAATCTCAACATTCTCAGCCTCAAGTTCAGTGATGCGCTGTTTCAATGATTCAAGCTCAGATGACATGATCTATATATAACTAATACAATGTATATAAGCATTCAAAATAAAAAAAATGTGTTTTTGACCGGGAGCCCCAGCTGAAATTTTTTAGTAATAAATACAAATGTTCGGGACTGTGCCCGTAATACATTACGAATTTTATGTGCTATAAGACGTATCTATTCCTAAATCCTAATTCTTTTTTCCCATAAGATCACCTGACCTTACCCTTTTTATTTCCCTCGATTCCTCCAAAGTTTTTACCGGCTTCTGCGCTTCTTCTAGTAACCATAAAATTTGATCAAGGACTTTTTCTGCCATGTCTTTCATACCCTCATCTTCATACGCAACAAATAGAGGCTTCGACAGCTTAAACACTGGTTTCCTTTCATTTTCTAATGTACATTCCATAAAATACCATTTTTTCGCATCTGTTACAATTCTTCATACTTTATTCATATCGTATTTGTCGTCTATTTCATTCACTTTGCGCTTGCGAAAAAGAGAAGATTCCATTTGTACAGTAGCCTGAGCAAAGCCCTGCTTAAAGTCATCTTTTTTGACCTCGATCAAGCCGATTGTTCTTCCTGTTGTATGTGATTCAATACCGTAGTCAAGATTTCCGCATTCGTTTTTACCTTCGACTAACTTTTCAGGTACTATTTTTATTTGGATTTTAAATGGGTAAGTTGCTGAGGTGAGAAAGGAATAGAAATAGATGCTTTTTGTGGCCTCATAGGACACGTCAATGGGGTTGTCATGACAAGTTTCCAATTCATCAAAAAGTTTACACAACCCTTCTTTATACTTTTCCTCCTTAGTGTTAACACATCCGCATTGAAAAACTGGATATACATCAATACTAGGATTCAGGTCATCGCTAAGCTCATAGAGCTCACACACTTTAGAGAAGATCCAGGAGTTAAATAGTTTTGATGGCGTCTCGATGAATACAGTAAACTTGAGTTTTTTATCTGACACGAATATGCGGAGGATTTTACAAAGGTCTTGATCGCTCTGAGGTGAATAATTGTCTCCATCATTTATGAAGTTGAGTTCAGCACCATCATTTTCAAGGGTGGTTGATACATCTTACGTATATATTCTTTGAGGCCTTCGAGAATCGCATGTTCAATATTTGAGGTCCACTTCCGTTTCGGGTGAACGATGACGTCGAAGTCTATAAAACAGAGTTAGTAAATATTTTCAGCCAGGGCGCCCCTGCCAAAATCTCAACCTAAAATTATGTACCATAGGTGGATTTATTAAGTAATGCCTGCAATGAAGCGACTTGCTTGAGTAATTCCTGTTCACGGCTTGAGGTGGTGGTACTCTCTGGTGGTTCGACTATGACATGAATATTCCTTTTAGGCAGTTTCCCAGTCCAGTAGTCTCCAATTTCTCTTGTTGCAAGGAGTTCGTCCCCGTCATTGAGTGTGAGATTGCTTAAGAGATCGTCCTGATCGTCAGGAATTTTTACCTTCCATAGCTTGAGCCTGTCTGCAGGAAAATTGTTGAACTCTGATGCCTTTTTTGCCTTAATAGCTTTCTTGAGTTCACTAACGGGTTCATTCCTGCTTATTTTAACAGACGTTCGCTAGAGTATTTCCTTTAATGAGACATAATAAAGTGATAGATATGTTTTCAGCTTTTATAGTATATTTTGCGAAATGTTATTGGCTCAAAAAGCGGTATGCGAAAAAAATACTGAGGTAGAGTATATGTGAGAAATTATTCTGTTTCACAAGCCTGCCGTATGATCAGCCACATTGCATTATAGGTGCAACAATCGCTTAATCACTGCGCCTCCCTAATCGTGAAGACTCTTCTCACTTATCATCTGACATTTTTTATATAGGCTAGTGGCTAGATTGGTTCAGATAAAAATGTTCAATATTGTGGCCAGATCATTACATGTGATAATGTACTAGTAAAAATAATACTTTATTTATGAAATAAAAAACGTTGCAAGTCAGCCTACATTACATAAAATTGCGAATATACTTCGTGGCTAAGGCCTATCACTATTACATAATGTTTTAAATACATACATAAATATTAATTCTATCATTAGGTAGTCGTTGGAGGAAATAGTTAGAAATCAACTCGTGTAGAAGCATTCCTGTTTCATTTAGACGTTCCCCACGAGCATATTCACCAATTTGGCTTTCAATTGATGTATCTCTCCTAGTATCATTGATCTTCCAGAGTAAAAACTCGGCAGGAGGAATATTTTTAAATAAGGATGGCCACCTTTCTCTAATCAAAATCCTTAACTAATCAACTGTTTCGTCAGTAGAGATTTTAAGCGTAGTAATACTTCCTTCTGATAAATTTGATCTTAGAGTTGTGTCGCAAGGTAAAAAAAGACAATTGAGAGTAATAATAGTATCGGACATCTTGTTTTCCTAAATACAAGACCCATAGTGAGAAAACCTCGCTCCCATACATACATAATTTAGCTAGAAGCGCTTCGCAAGGCATATACATACCTTATTTTGCATTATTTTCTCTGAGAAAGTTTTTTGAGGAATGTTGGCTGAACTTCCACATACCACTACATGCTTTATATCTTGCTGGGAAAAAGTTAAGGAGGTATGTGATGTAATTAGTATTGTCGTCTGATGCTAAGAGCTTCACGAAAGCACATGCAAATAAGACTTTCATACCTTTTCACATGTAGATCTACCAGAAAGACATATAGTTGAACTTACGCCCAACGATCTTGAAATTGCAGCCTTTCACAACATATGCTTTTGCTGTAACTATTTACTTTTAGAGTTAGTTCTGTGTTGCGTGTATACTTTCTTTTACATTTTTCTCATGATTGTTCAAGAGGAAAAATAAAGAATAAATATATATGCAAAAATTATTATGTCGCACAAGACCTGACTAATGATCCACTTATTATTGTCGCACAATCTGTGGCTCAGCAAATTCTTCTGAACTGGTGATCACTTCTCCGGAGTGATGATCTAGCTAGAATACAGGGTACACTCAATCTCCTTAATAATTCGTCATTAATATAATTATCTAAGGATACAACATCTCTTGGTACATCATGTGGTATCCCCAGACGCTTTGCAAGTTTATGGATCACATCTAAAGCTCTATTATTTGGAGGAGGTACCCAATTCAGCACGAAATTCTCGATATGGATATTTGGACTAAGCGAGAAAACTAGCTGATCTATGACTTCTTTGCTAATTTTACTACACCCTTCCAAATTGAGGTACTTTAAATTAAGACACGAACCAGCAATTTCTTTGATAGTTATTTTGGTAATTTGATAAATCTAAGACTAAGATGCTGGAGCCTTGGACAAGAACGAATAACATTACAAATTGATGTTTCAGAATATTTTGTGCGATTAGAGATATGTAGATATGCTAATCTATGGCATGAATTTGCAATTGCGGATAAACCTGTATCATTTTCTGAATTAAATCCTCCGTGTAAAGCAGATATATTGAGATACTCCAAATTTAGGTATGATTCCGCTATTAGCTTTAGAACTTTACCAATAGACTCAGACTTCATACTTCCTCTAAAATCTAAATGAATTATATTTGGGAACATATGCATAATGCCTCTGATTTTTTTATTTGAAAGTGAACGATAGTCCAATATTTTGAGATGAGTTAGATGCAAACTATAAATTGGCTTTCGTCCTCCTCACGAGTGGTACACCACACTATGTACTAATTTCATAAATCTTTCTAATCAAGTTCGATCCTCTACTTTCCTTCCCTTTAGTTCAATGCGTCTCCATAAAATAGGAGCACTGCATCTGTACCACAATCAGGATACAAATAGAGCAGGATAGAGTGACTTATCTATTGCTAAAAAATATAAAATCTGTTCTAATAGTTCTGGTATAATAAAAATGCTTGTGTGCGCTATAAATATTAATATGCTATATCTTTAAACAAAAAATAAAATTACGCGATCACTGCTTCGGTTAATCGTTATTCTGCATTAGATTCATATTTTACTTCTTTGAATGGGATTGCAAAATTATCATCTAATAATAGTTTTGAATAGCATATATCCAAAGTTGCACCATTTTCTCAAAACCAAGGACCTCCCAAGATTAATTCAGATCCCGGCCAATCCGGTCCAAGAACTATGAATTCAACAGGTGTGCTTTTATGCTTCTCGCCATCATTAAAGCCGATATGCAGATTAACCTTTCCTAATGTGGAATAGAATGCATCCTGAATCTCAGTAATACCTAATTCATCAATATGTTTTTGGATAATGCAATTTACATTGGCGCTTGTATCAATTGACACCTCAATAGGAATATTTTCTTTGACTACACAATTCACGAATACCATTTTATTATGGCATATATAATATTCAAATATAAAAATAAACTGGTCCTAAAGGAACCAACCTCTATCACTGCGGTCTGGCATTTATTGGATAGTTAATAGTCTTATTTTTTATTATATGCATTTTCTTCTGAATTTTTTCTTCAAACTAGTCTCAGATGTACTTGATTCAGATGAACCAGACTCGGTTGAACTACTCTCAGATGACGAACTAGATTCAGATGAACTAGTCTCAGAAGAGCTTGATTCAGATGAACTAGTTTCAGGCGAACTAGACTTAGGCGAAATATAGGTTAAGGATGTCAAATGCTTTTGGTCACTTTCCATTTTGATTATTTATCTATTAAACTTAATATCTTTGACTGAAAATATGTAAAGTGCCTGACTCAGCCCACTTCAAACTACCATTCGCTTAACTTTCTTTGATCGCACCCCCTTCGTTGCTTATGAAGAATATCCTCGCTCTTTCTTATCACAATTCTCTCGACTGAATCAGATTCTTTGGAAGGCTTATACAAATAGGAGAAACCCCCTCTATACATAGCACCTTTCGGCCCTTTTTTACCAATCAGCAAGGAAACTATTTCATGAATTAAGTCAACCAGAGTTTCCATATCCACATATTCATCCAGATCTTCTAATTCAATCTCTAAGAACTTTACATCTCTTTCCAGTCTTTTTACCCTCTTTTCTAAAGTATTATATTGGGAATGATAATCTTCTAATTGTTTCTTTAGTGCCCTATTTTCACCGGAAAGTGCACTATATACTTCTGCATTTTGCTCGTTTAGTCCTAATGGTTAGGCTAATTTTTCTGTACACCTGTTAACTTCCTGCTTGGTGAAGGTACTATCAGATGAATGATTTTGATCGGTTAGCATTTTCGTGATATTTTATATATGATATATCTTGCCTCAAGCGAAAAAATAAAATTAATAAATGATATCCTGATCCGATTCCTTTAGGATCCCCTCTAACCCTTATATGTGATTAGTTTGCATTGAAGATGTTGAATGGACTCGCTTGTTCGGACAGACATATACAAATCATTATCAGGGTTAATCTACTTTTTCTTTTATCTTTACCTGGTTCTTTAGGGATGTCTTCGAACAATTGCAAGAAGGTGGGTCGTTCATTATGCCATAACTTTCTACTGATTCATGATGACCTACTACTTGTTTGCAAGCCAACTTTCGTAAATATTGGCGGTAAGAATCGTTCCTACCTCCATGGATCCTGCTAGCATAATCTGCTCTTATCTTCCTCAGTTTATTCGAAGTAATTCCATGTTTAGCTAGAGTGTGATTAATTGGATTTACATTAACTATATCGCTTTTGTTTTTTTGTAAGAAGGGAAATTTTTCTAGTATTGCTTCCTGAATCCAAGTAAGAAACTCTTTTGCTCGTATTGGATCCTTTTCCATTGAGAGAAAAGGCCGGGGTTCTCCTACTCCTGTTTCTTTAGTTTTAGAGTAGCCAGTACAATACCAGGAATATTTGGGATAATACCAGATCTCGTCCGATGCTTCATATCTATCAATACAAAGACTAGCAACATCTGCCGGTCGCATGCATAACATTATCATTACGTCAACCAAATCTTCCTTAGAAGGCAATAAGGAAAAATCACATTTCTTGAGTCTTTCCTGAACCGGTTCTAAAAAGAAGTGTTCAGGCCAATCGACACCTTTAAATTTGTCAAGTACAAGCCGTCGTGCCTGAATTTTATTCGATTCAGTAGTAATATGAGGAATTTTCGTTGCTTCTTTTTTGAGATGATCAGCTCCACGATTCCGTAACTTTTTTCGCAATAAAGTAAGACAAGAACCCCCTACGACTGGATTAGGTGCAGAACTACCCAAATCATATGAAATTTGTTTTATTTTCTCAGACGAATAATCATTATCCACAATTTCTTAGGCAATTTTATCAACAGTATCCCTGCCTTCTTCACGCTTTCCAGAAGGTCAGATAGGAATGAGAATTTCTACTTGCTCCTTAGTAAGCCCTAATAGGCAAAAACGCGTTTTGGCATTAGATCTTACCTTGCAATCATCCTTCAAACTTTTGCTAATTTCCTCTGTGTATTGGGCTAGTTCAGATAATGGAGTTTCGAAGGTCCATTTATGGCGTTTCATGAAATCTGTAGCTACTTTTGCCATATTGTTTTTACGACACTATAGTCAAGAATATTAAAACGTACTAATTTTATATTACGTACAAAAAAGTTCAATTCAAAAATAATTATTCTGACATTTCACTGCACCATGGTCGGTGAGGTAAAAATAATATTATAACTTATTGCGGGCTCTCTATGAGGCCACGAGCTCCGGCCGGGATATCTTTATATTTATTTGAAAATTATGGGTAGATAGAATATGCGAAAAAAAAATAATAATAATTTGAAATTATATATCGCCTAGTTGTAAGGAACGAAAGTCCCATCCCTACTAATATTAATTAACCCACTCTTATTCACTCTTTACCAAAGCATACCATTCTCCTGGTGTATGCTTATGTTTTTTTGCCATTCCTTGTCATCATAAATATATGCCAAGGTTTTCCCACGTCTTCAAACTCCCGAAGATATATTTTTTTACTTATTAACCTTTCCCTTCTAGTCATGTAAAATAAATCGTTCAGGTCCATTTCATTTTCTCTAGCAAATTCGATGACTTCTACATTCACCATCATCCTGTCTCGATACTCCTGAGACTGATCAATATCTTTTTCT